CTTTTAATCCAAGTCCTTTAAGCCGTTTTGGTAGAGGAAATACGTCCATAACTTCTTCCAAAAAACGCTTTGAAGATATAGGAGATAGATGTGGAATCAGTCAAAACGAGTACTTTTTTTCCTTTTACTCGAAATTCTTCGGAAGAACCCTAATAACAGTCAGCTCTCGAAAACTGGACTCGGTGAAATTCGAACAGATCACTGTTAACCGTGGCCAGAAAGAAGGTACAAATCGGAAAACGATTCCTAGCTTTCTTGCGAATATGCAAACTCATTGAAGTGGAGATACTGGTGAGGATGAGTGTTGGGTAGGTTGAGTCTGGCAAAGCTCAAAGTTGTAAAACAGTTGATCTGGTGTGACTCATGGTAAAAGCGCGATCTCTCAAAAGCAGAATTAAAATTGCTAAATTTCTCTAAAAATCGTGCATCTATAAGCACATTCATATTCCTGTGTAAGAATACTCATCGGCCAACTCTTGTTATAGAATTTACTTGAAAAGTACGGTTATTCTATGGAAAATGTAGAAATTGTGTTCAAAGGGACTAACTATCTGAAATTACAGGTAATTACATTCTGCTAAATGTCTTCTTGGCTATCGCTGTAGACAACTTGGCCGATGCTGATAGTTTAACAAATGCCGAAAAAGAAGAGGAACAACAAGGTTTGGATTATTGTGTGTGAGATTAGACTCGCATTGCTTAGTATTAATCCTGGATGCCAGAGCTCTCATTAAAATATTCTTTACATTTTAATTTAGAAATGGATGGCGAGGAAGAATATGACGAGGATGGAGAAGGATTTGGTGAAGGAGAAGACAGGTAATTTCTTCGTTATATTTTGAGCGCTGTTTGGGTGAAAGAAGACGGATATTTGCATTAATTGCTCTTCAAACACATACACCTCTCATGGTAAGCATAAGCACTTAAGGTCTACAGTAGTCTGTTCCATGCATATCTAGCATTTTGAGAACTAATATGGGGACAGACATGTTATCGCAGTCATTAGTTGTTTTACCGTTCGAACTTATGATAAAACATCCGATAATTGGAAATTATCAACTGCTTGGCTTCTATTGTTTTTTTTTTGCTTCGCGGGTAGAGTAGGAAATTCGAACCAAAGTTTTTATTGCACAGATGTAATGCGTTTGTTTTTTGTTCCATTCTCATCCTTTTACACAACGCCTTTCGTTCTCAAACGGAGTACTGTGGGATAGTGCGTGAGAGTTTGGTTTTTAAGAGACAATTGCTTTTTATCATATCGCAACACTGGAGCGATAGAGCAAATTCTGAATATGTATGGCATGCAGATGTCCTGAGATAGTTAAATGGCAAAAACTCGTTTTAAGTTTTTTTGAAAGAAGACAACAAGAGAATTGTCAGTAGTATGGCA